ATCTTCTATTATCCTCCATACAAATATCCTTTAGAAATGGAACAAATTTCCCAAAAATCTCCGTAGAGGAGCACAGACATCTGTAGACACAGATTCTTAATAAAGAGACCTGGAAGAGGGTGAAGAAATTTTTCGAAGAAAATTTGTTTCACTTTTAAAGGCTATTATTATGGAGGATAATAGAAGATCAAACGATGATTTTTACTGCGTAGAATTTATCGCACATGGTGAAACTCTAGGAGTAATTTCATGCAAAATTGGTACATTTCCTATAAAAAAGGGCTCATTTTTTTGCATTTTTCAATCAATCTCCAAGGACCATGTCTGGAGACCCTACGCTAATTTTTCTATAGAGTTGTAGCCCAGAAAGTGAACTTGAAGGTTCTAAAGAGCAGTTCCTATAAACATTCATTTCCTCGTAGGTCTCTTGTTCTGAAAACCTACATTTCTAGCAGAATCCTAATTTTGAGAGTACTCCTCTGATCAAATTGAACGATGTAGAAGGCTGAAACTTTTAGAAAAGATACATCATTTTCTCTTCTATGTGCAATGAAAATATCAGATCTGTATTGCATTTCAATCACACGTTATGAAGCACCAAACTTACCAAATATGATACTTTTTCTACATATTGAATGGTTCATAAAATCCCAACTGCTTAATATTTTGAAACAACAATTTTATGGTCAACACGACTCACTGAGATATGTATTCATATCAAATTTCAGCTCAATCGCTTGAGCTTTTCTTGAGATATGGTTGGATTTGGACCCCTTGATGAATGTGGTCACTTTAAGCCTTTTCGTGAAATACTCATAAAATATTAAAGCATCAACACATTTGAAAACGGCTTGTGCCAAAATTCTTAGAACTCTTTCCTCTACAATATGCCTTAAATTGAACAAAGTCTGACGACCTCAATTGAGTAAGTTCGCCCATGACTTACATGGACTCGCTCATAGATCTGTTTTTTGCATTCCAAAACTCATTTGGAAAGAACTTCTTTTTATGTACTCAAAAAGTGAGTACACTCTAGAATCGGTCAGAGTATCCATCCGTTCGGCCAGCCATTTACACGATAACTTTCGAAAGGAGAGTCCGATCACAATGAAATTGTCTACACAGTTTCGTCTCATCAATGTCTCGGTCGAGTTCTAAGATGAGAATGATTCGTCGAGCCATTGCTGAGTTATCGCAAAAAGAGTCATTTTTCCCTATGCTTTTCTATGCGACTATTGACCTATCACGGTTTTTGTAAAAGGAGGTCTGGCTAAGTGCCCTGGAGTCGGGAACTCAAAGGGTGTGGATAGCGGTGGAAACTTGCCGTCACATTCTCACGTAACTGATAACGGTTTGGTAATCTTCTCTCGTCTCCAGCCCTGAACCATAGGGTCTTCAAGTCCTATTTTTGAAAAAAATTTTTTTATGCAGAAACATTTTTTTTTTCGAAACAATAGAACTTGAGGACCCTATGGTTCGGAGCTGGAGACGGGAGAGGGTTACCAATCCGTTACCAGTTACCTGAGAACGTGACGGCAACTTTCCACCACTATCTACACTCTTTGAGTTTCCGACTCCAGGGAACTTGGACACTGCTGTCGTCAATTATTTTTTTTACTTCTTGAAGTACACATAATACTCGGATTTATATCCGAGGTTTCCACATTTATTTACTAAAATTTCAAGTGTTGTCAAAAAAATTTAACTTTTCTCAATGAGCACATTTTTGTATTCCAAGATACATTTTTTTGCAAAAATCTTTTTTTGATAAACATTTTTTATGAAAATACGTCAAGTTGAAAATCTTGAGATTCCGATTTCAGATTCTGATTCCACGACCCCGATTTTGCTAATGTGTACTATACTGGAGAAAAATCGTCTTCAATCGTGATTGGCTGAAAAAATTGACCAATGGGAGAGGGAGCAGACGTGACGCTGAACATTAGTATATAGACTAGCGAGAACCCGTGCATACTGCACGGCTGTTTTGTCCTTTAACGCATGACCTCGGACATTTAACTTTTCATCCGGTAAAATACATACAGACACTCGATATTATGTACATAGATAGATAGCCCTACGACCTCATACTCTCATATCGCACATATTTTTATAGCCCATGTAGCCTTCGGCCTTATCGCCTTATATTTCTTGCAGCCTTATCTCCCTATTGCCTTACTCCCTTCAGGGCCTATAAGTATCACAATATAATAGCCCTTGATCGCCTGTCAGTACCCCGCTAGGATAGCCCTTGAGGACTTATGAGTAACCCATAGGTTAGCCCTTGGGGACCAATGGCTACCTCCATATAATAGGCCTTGGAGACCTATTGGTACTCCCATGGGATAGCCCTGGAGGACCTATGGGTACCCCAATAGAATAGCCCTTGAGGATTTATCAGTACCCCATAAAATAGCCCCTGGAGATCTCTCCCTGAGAGTCTTATTTGACCTTTGACCTTTGACCCGGCACAGACACACACTGAACATTATATATATAGATATGTATTTCAAACTGTGTTTTTTTTCAGATGATAGCTCTTCTCTTTCTCTACAAAATAATATAATTGGATCAATACCTTCATATGAGTTTGATATAAATATTCTTGATTTACTAAGGAGAAATCGAAACTTTGTGACCACCCTTTAGTACCTGTTAGCAAACCATGGAAAGACCACTGGTTGATATTTACTGCTAATCGGATAACTCATCAAAGTGAAACACCTAGTTCAAAAAATGAGAGAAACTCTATCAATATGAAAACCTGTAGTTTTTACTGTATTTGTGTTATTTTAGTGGCGTCCAGCACAACTACAACGACACTGATTCAAAGTATGAACTAATGTCTTAGATCTCATAACTATGTTACTCATTGAGCTGAAAAAATGATTTAAATTTAAAATCAATGTAGAGAATTATGGAATGCAACAAAGTAAAAATAATGATCCTACCAGATTAACAATTCCAGTTACTATTTACTGGAACGATTTCGACCAGTCAAAGGCTCATCAAACGAAAATAGAAAAAGCACAACAACAAGATTTTGAAAATTTCCGATAGCAATTATATAAAATCGAATTGTTAATGAATATTGAAGTACATGACGAGAAAAACTGATTCATTTGCCAGTTATCAAAATACTGTTTAAAGTTTGAAATGCTCGCATTGATATATATACAGGGTGATCCAAAAGTCTTGGTACCTCTCAGAAAAATTGTTCGTTCTTCCTTATAGTAAATTCCAAAATGCTCAAACTTTGGTATCTTATTCTATATAACATGGCCAATGTTATCCTAAATTTTCATCTCACTATCCTGATAAATAAGGGAGATGTATAGACTACCTTTTTTGAGATCTTATTTTCACCAGGCCGCAAAAATAATAGTTGGCGTATAATAAATGGACTACTTTTGTATCTCATTTTTCCGCCATTTGATACGTTCTATTAAGAAAACAATATACCACACGATGCAGCGTGAAAAGCTCTACAATCTACATAGTGCAGCATATTTTAATTATATAGTTTTTGTTTTCGAAAAAAAGCAAAAATTTGTGTGATCAGTTTTTAAGTTAGTCCGACAGAGTTTTGCTTTTTTTTTTTTGAAGACAAAAATTACATAATTGAAATATACTGTACTGTGTAGATTGTAGAGCTTTTCACGCTGCATCTTGTGATATACTTTGCTTTTTCTTAATAAAATTTATTAGGTGACAAAAGGGGTAAAAAAAGATGAATTTTTCGTTCGTGCAAAAAAAAAAGATTTTTTTTATGATGACCATATTTGATCGCATAGTTTTGCTTTTTTTTGAAACCAAAAACTATATAATTAAAATACGCTTTACTGTGTAAATTGTAGAGCTTTTTACGCTGCATCTTGTAGTATATTTTGTTTTTTTAATAGAACGTATCAAATAGCGGAAAAATGAAATACAAAAGTAGTCCATTTATTATACGCCAACTTTTATTTTTGCGGCCTGGTGAAAATAAGGTCTCAAAAATGGTAGTCTATACATCTCCCTTATTTATCAGGATAGTGAGATGAAAATTTAGGATAACATTGACCCTGTTATATAGAATAAGATACCAAAGTTTGAGCATTTTGGAATTTACTATAAGGAAGAACGAACAATTTTTCTGAGAGGTACCAAGACTTTTGGATCACCCTGTATATATATGGGCATGATCAGTCAGCATAGTACTGGGTTTTTGTTTTCTTTCTACACCTTCAGTAGTACATCAGAGAAGTACGATTTTTCTACCTGATATAGTCCCTGTGTAGAGCTATGAAACGCACGTCATTTGATCTGTATGTTATGATTTGAAAGATATGCTTCAAGTATTACATTCAGGTGACATAGTTTAAGTTAAAAGGTTATACTCGTGACAAATAGGTAACCATTCTAACAAAAAAGAAATCTCGAGAAGGTAAATTGATAGTATAAGACAAAGATCACAGAAAAGTATCCGCAGTACAAGAGGAACTATTGTAAGTATGAATCAGTGTATTAAAATTTATACCTTTTTGATTTGTATGTATCGAACATCAATCGTAACTTTAAGACTCTTAGAAAAGTTGCACGGGCTGTTTTTATCATATTCTCGTTGAAAATCTGTATTGTTTATACTTTATTCTATTTAAGTTCATCGTCGTAAGAATTGATTTATGAGAACAGGATGAGAACAAGATAACTTGAACTATATAGGGTGGAAATTTTACATAAGACGCATCTTTTATATCATAATATACAGATCAACTCAGATGCCTTTCATATCTCTATACATGGAGTATATTAGGTAAAAAAAACTTATTTCTCTGATGTATTATTGAAGGTTTAGAGAGAAAGCAAAAATAGGATACTATGATGACTTGCTACGCCCATATATATATATAAAGCGAGAGAGACAGAGGAAGAAAGAATTGTTAATGTATTATGAATTTATTTTGAATCTCAAAATCTGTTTTGTTGTAGCCACAGTTTGCAGCTTGAAGTTTGCACCAATGGTATCATATTCAACTAATACTAACCCGGGCTCGATCACCGTTGCTGATTTCAATAACGATGGTCACCTTGACATTGTCGTTTCTAATAATGGGGCTAACAGTGTAGGTGTATTTCTTGGATATAGTAATGGAACTTTTGAGGCACAAAGAACGTTTTCAACTAGCTCGGGACCATTTGCAGTGGTCACCGGTGATTTCGATAATGATACTAAAATAGATATCGCCGTTGCCAATCGTGATGCTGACAGTGTGGGTTTACTTCTTGGGTATGGCAATGGTACCTTTTCGACGGAAAAGACGTTTTCAACTGGAATTCATCCGTCATCTATTGCCGTAGGCGATTTCAACAATGACAATCATCCGGATATCACCGTTGCCAATAATGGTGATAATAATATAGGTATACTTATTGGATATGGTAATGGAAGCTTTGCCAGCCAAATTACTTACCCAGCTGGTAGTGCCCCAAATCCAGTTGCCATTGGTGATTTCAATATTGATCAAAACCAGGATATTATTACTGCTAATTGGTATACGAACGATGCGAGTTTATTCTTCGGATATGGTAACGGAACGTTTGCTTCACAAACAATGTTATCAGTTGGTACTAATGGTTATTCGATTGCTATTGGTGATTTGAATAGGGACAACAAACCTGATTTTGTTGTTAGCAACATAGGTGATAGCACTGTCAGTGTATTTCTTGGACACGGTAATGGAACCTTCGCACCAAAACTAACCTTCTCAGTTTTTACTGGCATAAGATCGATCGTCCTGGGCGATTTCGATTTGGATCAAAACCCTGATCTGGTCGTTGCCGATACTAATACCAACAATGTGGGTGTACTTCTGGGGTATGGCAATGGAACCTTCGCCACGCAAAAGATATTTTCAGCTGGAACTACGCCCTATTCAGTGGCCATTGGTGATTTCAATAACGATAGTCGCTTGGATATTGCTGTTGCTAACTATGATAACAACACAGTAGGAATCTTTTTGAATAACTGTTAACATTCTTTTATCTAACTAACTTTGTTCGTAATTACTGTAATTCGCACTCATCGTTTTGGAACTTTATACTTAAGAAATTCTTTTTTCCCAGACGTTATTTCTTGAAAAAAGAAATATCTTTACGATTAAGACGAAATCGTTTGATGGTCTGCTTCAGGACAGATTAGCTCTTCTGAAGTTGTTCAGGAATAACTGAATAATGGCAACAATCATGTTAAATATTGATACGAAAAGGAACGTGACTGTGAATGTATGGATATTGACAAACAAACTAGTCACATACGCATACCTATGCCTTTCTGTAGGGTGTGAATGTGGGTGCGGTTGTAGGCGAAGACAATTCCAACATTCATATTCAGACCCACACATTCACACTCATACCCACACCCTGATTCTGAACATATAGGTTTCACAGTTGTATAATTTTGTTATCTATGTATATATTTATAGATTTTAAACATATATGATGAAGACTATCTAAGAAACAGTCGAGACGGGTCCTATGATGCGATGAGTCTTTCTAATGCGAGAAACGCATCCACCTAACCTCCACCCATAGCTATACCCCCAGATTAACATCCACACCTAGGCCTATACCTGGAAACAGATTCACTCACACCTAATTTTATGATATTATCTGATGAGACGTGTAAAATGAGAAGCTATGATGTGCGCTTGTGAGTATGGAAGATGGTGAGGGTAGGACATGTACAAGAACAACTTTCTTTGATGTAGGTTCCAGCCCTTGTGTGTGGCTGCCAACTTTTAGTTTCTCAGGATTTATTTATTCACATGATAATTCAGCACACTCATACCCTCACTTCACAGAAGATTTAGTCCAAAGTGCGAGCAGACCTTTGAAAATGTTTCAATAAATCCTGAAAAATAATTCCAGATAGCTATTACCGAGAACGTGCCATATGCGTCAGATATGAGACTATTTTCGAACAGCCATTTTAGCGAACCAAATAGATGTGTTGTTTATTTCATTAGAGAACTTACGATTAAATTATATCGATTTTCTCAGTCATTGTGGCAGACTTTCTCTTGCAGAAGATTGTACGATACATGGGCATTATCAAATATTTTCTTGTATGCAGCTAATTTCAAGTGGAATGCGATTGTAGTCCGAGAGAATACTCAGACGCACCAGCACATTCGTTCACGACCACGCCTTAGAATTTGGCTGATTGCATAAAACTTTTATTAAGAATTAACATCATCAGGCGTATATCATTAAAATCTGAATATAAAGTAACGAGTGCCCATATTATCCAGCATAGCTCCTTTATCATGATAACCGATTCTTCGTTTGCCTAGTGCGTTGACTACTTCGAGATGTTCCTCCAAACTATCGATGATTTGCGTTAGAGCAGCTTTAATCAATGTCGGTCTTAGCTTACTCTCCTTCATATTAGTATTTTTGAATTGTGCTGCATTTGATTGCGAGAAATCAGTATTATCATCATTATTATTCGAGGGCTTTGCGAGAATATGGCTTATTAGTACTTGTTTCACCTCTTTCATAGTATTTGGAGTTAGCTAACGCATAGCTTGCGACTTAGGATGGCGCCAAAATTCAAGAGGATCAAACTGTATTGATCCATTGAGTATATTCATTTGAAGACAAAATAGCGTTATTGATCGAATAGATTCATGGGTGGGTTCAAGATCGAACATACGCAATGGATAAGGTTTGGCAACCGGAGGAGAACAATTAAGAGGAGATGATTCTCCTTGTAGAGTCGAGTGTTTCTGGTCTTTTATCATGGGCTCAATAGAAGACGAAACACCTTGTAAAGTCGAATGTTCCTGATCTTTTACCACAGGTTCAATAGAAGACGAATTTCCTTATAAAGTAGAGTATTTCTGATCTTTCACCAGGTATTCAAGCGGAAGAGACTGACCTTCTATATATCGAGTATTCACAACAGTATGAATGAGTGTTGATGTTTCGACAGGAGTACTCTCGCAACAAGCAATTTTCAATCGATAAATGTGTTCAGCGAGTTAAGAAATGAGTATTCAATGTTTCCTAGCAAAATGACAGGGTGAGTAGAGTTATTTCTCATCTCAAATATGGTGGACTGGTTAAATACGAGGGTGTGGATGTGGGTGGTGTGCGTGTGGGTGTGGGTGTGGGCATGGGTATTTAGAAACATATGACCATTACGTACACCCACACTCGCACCCACACCCACACCCATCCACCCACACCCCATACCAACCCACACCCACACCCACACCCCACACCCCACACTCACACCCACACCCACACCCCACACCCACACTAATTAAACCATAATATTTAACAATATGTTTTCCTAAACCACATTTTGTACATTTATTTTTAAGATATTTACGAACATCAGACAAATAAGATTCACTGTCAAAAATAGATCTATTATTAATTTAAATACATCCTCTATATAATCCTTGGCGAGTTTTATAAAAAAAAACATTGCTAATATCTCAATTATTTCTTGGTCTTTATGGATTGGTGCAATGAGTGCTAAGAAATTCGAGAGACATGGCACTGAAGTCAATGATACATCTTTTGAACTAGCCGATATTTTTTTTACATATATGCAAAAAGTTTTCTGAACTTCATTTGTATAAGAACAAACTATTTGTAATTGCAAACAAATCTGCATTTTGGTAATAAATCAACTTTATTTCCAAGAACAAATATAATATTTGGTGAAGTATTATGATAGTCAGTTGTTTGATCAACGAGATGTGTCCATGATCGACTAATTGAATTTGTTATATCAAGAAGATCAACAATTAAAATAATTAGAGCACGTTTTCGTTTTATTTCTGTTAAAATATCTCTATAAATATGTTCATTGACTTGACAATGTGATATAGGATTTGTATAGCTAAAAAGAGAACATCTTTGACATTGACTTGTTCGTTTTTGTAAATTTGTTGAAAGATAATGTTTATATATTTCAACTGGTATAAAACCTCTAGAATATAGATTAATAAATAAGTGGTTATATTCAATACAGTTTAGTTTTATGAGCACATTGAAGTGATGCTCCATAACCAAAACAACGAGCTGTTTCATGAATAGATTTTGTTTTATCTTCAGTTCCTAAATCAATAATGGAAATGATTTTCTATCGATGGAAAAGCAACAA